TGAGCTCAAACAAAATCAAAACATACATACATGATACTTTGGGTTCTATAAACGAATACATAAATGTGTATTATTACCATTAGTGGCAGTGGTAGTACCATTAGCATGATTGTCAAACTTTTTTCCCATTGTGTGGTTGGCAGTATTATCTGGATTTGATTTGTTTTTTCTTGGAATTGAAGCTTTCTGATTCCCATCTTGCCTTTTCTACCATATTCTCCTGGTCTCAAGAAAGCTGGTGGAGTGGGGGTTGTGGTGCTCAAGGGCCACTAGGGCATTATCAAAAAATCTACAATTGCCTACCAAGTGTGCAGCACAGAGCCCCGTGATATTTTCTCAGAAGATATCAATGGCCAACATTCACATCCAGGTTGACTTGGCAGACACTGATCCTAAGACTATTTCTGCCCATATCTGACTGTCAGCCTTCTCCAAAAGAGGCAGTACTTCCACAAAAGCCTTGATGAGATAGGTGTGAGCATCACTTCTCTTCTCCCTTTGTTGGGCCCTCAGATTTACAGTACTATACTTGGCTTCTTGGTCTGCAAGAGCCTCAATAGAACAATTGGAAATGGGAAAGTGGGCAAGTGGCATTCACTCTCCCTACCTGGCTGCATACAGGTATCCCAAACACAAGCCGGGCTGTTTCCTTGATGTCTTGGCAGGGAACAGGGTTTATGAGAACCACTCCCCTACCCTGACCTCCCATTTCTGGCATTGTTCCCTGAACATAGTTGGTGGTTAGCAAATGTTAAATTTGAATAAGGAACAGATTAACCTTACTGAAATGTTTGTTTTCCAAAGTTTACAGAGATATTGCTGCAGCTTAGGCGTCACACACTGATATGTGTGTGGTGGTAGATGGGTTATTACGGCCCAGGCTCAAAACACACTCACTGTACACCTTCCAGCAGCAAGTGCACATGCAATCATTCTGGGCAGCCAAGAAGATGCCTCATGAACTGGTTTCTTCTTGGAAAATACCAAGAAAGAGGAAGCAACCCCACTCTTAGAATAATCTATTTTGGTTTGTTTGACTTGTCACATCCTTCCCTCAATGGAAAGGGACATGAAATGGAAAGGGCCATACTAGGAAATGATAAGTGTGGGCTGGGGAAAGAAAGAAATTCTGGGCAATGCAGAGTAGCTTACCGGCCAGAGAGCAGCAGGGACAGGCGGTTGATGGGTGTCTCGCCCTCCACGGCATACGTCTGTTCAGTGGCCAGAGTTAAGACCTGCTCCTCGCAGCAATGAACAATCTCCTTGTATGTCTGTAGGGGCACCTGCAGGGGCAGGTACAGCGCCTTGTAGAGGAGGTCGAACTCCTCGGGGAGGGTGTCCTCGCGCAGGCGGTATACCAGGTGTGCCAGCTGGAGCAGGCAGACCAAGGCCAGCAGGAAGCTCCAAAGAACAATGTCCACACCACAGGCACTGAACCAGCCCCACAGCACGCAGCACAGGTAGCCTGCACTCAGGAAGCCAAAAAGATAGAAGCATCCATACACCCCGCTGCCCCCCATGAAGCCCAGGAGTAAGAGGCAGTTGGCTAGGTGGTAGACAGCCCCTTCCACATCCTGCTTCCAGCTAATGCACGCTGAACCCTGCAAGAGAAGCTGGCCCACTGTGCTGCTATTGGTGCTCATCTTTGAGGCCTCTCAAAGCCTCACTGGGCTCTAATACTGTCCTCACATAGGAAATTCAGAAAATGAATGAATCTCAGGGGTCTTCTCACCTCTGGCTTCTCATCACCAACTCCACCTTTCTGGGAAGGAATGCTTCCAGTGGTTTTGGGAATGAATGACGGAACACAGCACACTTCATGGAGAATTCAAAAACTTCTTGCTCTCTCTCACTCTCCCTTTCTCTCCCCTCAGCAAGGCTCTGGCTCTCCCTGCAGAGCTCTGGCAAGCTTTCTTGGTTCCGTGTTTCTTAGGGCAGTCTTCAAATTTGGTTCTTAGCAGAAAAACCTAAATAGTCGCAAGGGATAGTAGGACTATAGGACTGAAAAGCCCAGCAGTGTGGGATGAAGCGGCCACATCCTGCTCTCTGTTTTTCCCAAGCAGAATGCAGAGCGCCAGCATGGGAGGCACACTTGTGTTCCATTTGGAATGTGTTCTCTCTTGGCACCGGAAGAAAGGGTGACCCCAGACGGATACCATGTTTGGAATTGGAATCCAAGAGGTACTAGCAGTGAGAAAAAACAGGCCAGGCACAGGCAGCCTGGCATAGCACTTAACATACCTCTCAGAGGACGAGATAAGACCTCAGGGTGAGAGAGGCAGACAACGAGAAAGGAAAAGTGAGCACAGAATTCACCTTAATGCCTCCGGCAGGTCCCGAGCTCCCTGTGGGGACAGCCAGACAGCACTCCTGAGTGAGGAGGACACATCAGAGCAGGAAAGTATGGGACTATCATCAGAAAAAATCCTAACAGTGAAAACTGGAAAACCCCTGAAGGCCTTTATTAAGTCACACTGCAAATATCATTAGGTATTTATTTGACATCCATTTAACAAAAGTAGCTACATAAAGCAGCTTTTTGAATTCTAAGCTGACTTTTCCCTGCATATATCTGGATCTGGTAGTAGTAAACAAGTAATCATACATTGACCAGATCATCATCCCACCCACTCCAGTGTTTCCAAATTATAATTCCCACCTATTAAACACCCATGAAGTGCCAAGCCTAGATGAGGCATTTTATATACTTATAAGTTAGTTGTCACAACAACCTTTCAAAGTAAATATTATTCTCCTCCTAGATCTGGAAGAAACTGAGGCTCAGAGAGGTAACAAGTTCCCACAGATAGTAAGTGGCAGAGCCAGGATTTGAACCCAAGTCTATCAAACTTAATACTCTGTCCCAAGGGGTTTGCCAGTAAGTGAAAGTAAAGGACTAGATCTGTGACTTTTAACTCCACACTTCTATGAAGTCTAATAATTTTCAAGGAACTTCTGGTTGAACCTAGGAATCTACTTTGTGCTGCCAAGAGATAAAGCTGGAGTATGCAAACATTAAGCTAAGAAATGTTGGCTGGGAATAGTGGCTCACAACTGTAATCCCAGCACTTTGGGAGGCTGAGGTGGGTGGATCACTTGAGGTCAGGAGTTCGGGACCAGCCTGGCCAACATGGCAAAACCCTGTCTCAACTAAAAATATGAAAATTAGCTGAGTATGGCAATGGGCGTCTGTAGTCTCAGCTACTCAGAAGGCTGAGAATCGCTTGAACCCGGGAGGCAGAGGCTGTGGTGAGCTGAAATTGCGCCATTGCATTCCAGCCTGGGTGATAGGGCAAGATTCTGTCTCAAAAAAAAAAAAAGAAAAAAAGAGAGAAAGAAAAAAAGAAATGACTCTATGGCTTCCAAATGACTCCTTGATTCCCCTTCCCTGCTGCTGGATTAGCACTTACTACCATTACTCCTCTTGCCCCTGAAGTACAGCCAGGGTGCTCAGTAACCCCCAGAACTAATCAAGGACTCAATCCATAGGGACTTTTACACTGCTGCTATAACTTGAGGAAAATTTATGAGAAATTAGAAATTATGAAATATGGTGAGGGGGAGATGTTTTCACTCAACAATTATTTATTGAGTGCCTACTATGAGCTAAGAACTTGGGGATCAAAGATCCTCAAGAGAAACTTTCCCCCTGTTAGGGTAAAGAGACCTCAAAAAGCCAATTCAATGTGTGAAGCACAATAACCAAGTTAAGTTTGAAGGATGGTGGCAGCCTAGAAGGAAGGGTGGCATCAGGAAGAAAAGATGCAAAGAGCTGGCCTCTAATTTGAGGTTTAGAGGTTGAATTCACCAGGTAGGTAGAGGGAGAACAGGATTTCTAGTGGTGAGAATAGCAGAAGCATGGGCACCGAGGTATGAAAATGCACAGCATGTTGAAGAAAGCCAGTGTTGTTAACCTAATTAAAATCAATTCTGACCAACAAATGTATACCCTATCTCCTCCTTTTTAAAGTTAAGAGGGAAAGAAAATCAGTAAAGCACTAGAGTGTCTGGAGAAGAAATGCCATTGAGGCTACTCCATGGACATGATTTGGACTCAATGTCACTTGAACAGTGGAGTTTGGGGATTTCCATATACTGCTTTTGTCACTTGCCTGCCTCCCAACCAATCCCCCTATTTTAATAAGCAGCAGCTGTTCATTCTTCCACCACAGACATGCAACCCCTGAGCTTCCAGAGTAGCTGTCCCTGCCAGCTGTAAGCAGGGAAGTCAGAAGCACAGAAACGGAGAAGCAACCAAGGCTCTGCCCAAGATAGAATTTCAACAGCTCATCTTTCTTAGGAGACCTGCCAAATAGGTTGGCCCTAACCCGTTAAAGAGACAGGCAGACCCATTAACTCTATGGTTCACTTGTCCTGCTGCCCAGACTGCACTCAGCCTGCTTTCCTGTCAATCCACATATGTGCTATCTCGGCAGGGGTATTAACATTTATCAAGCAGTTATTGTTTCCTCATGTTATCTTACTATACCTATTTTTTAAATAAAATAGAAGAAACAGGCTCAGAGAGGCTAAGGAACTTGCCCAAGGTCACAAAGCTAGTCAGAATAAAGATTAAAGCCTAGGTCAGTGTGTCTCTGAATTGTATATTCTCTACAACGTATTAATAGCATCCTATCAGGTACTTTTGGGAGTTTATATGTCTGCATACAAGCTCATCTATTCCTGCTGGAAATTTGAGTATGATGTTAGGATGGCATACGTCAGAGAATCATGGGTGCAAAAACCCCACACGTGGCCTGCAGTAATAGTGACATTGATGTCCACAGGATGGGACCTGTGATCAGAATACAACAATGAAAAGTTGTGTCTTATTTGTTTTTAAGCCCAGATTTGATAGAAAAGGAAGGGAAAATGTACTGTCTGTCAAAATGGTAAGTTCTTATAAGGAAATACATAAATAGGAAGGCAGAAGCATAATAAAAAAAACATCTGGGAAAGAAAAAAGGGAAGAACCACAAGTTTTCTCATTGTTGAGTTGATTCAATTCAACAGGCATTTATTCAGGACAAACTATGTGTTCCAAGAACAGGGGATATAAAGATGAAGAAGACAATTATCACTTCAATAAACTTTCAGTCTATTCTGGGATACTGACCCAGAAACTGCAATCCAATAAAATAAGTGTACCTAGGATTCAAAGAAAAAACACTGATGAGAGAGCAAATAATTCAATCCATAGGGACTTTTGCTATACTGCTATAACCTAACTAAAATTCACGAGGTTGGGGGCATGATGGCTCATGTCTGTAATCCTAGTACTTTGGGAGGCTGAGGTGGGAAGATCACTTGTGCCCAGGAGTTTGAGAACAGCCTAGGCAACATAGGGAGACCCCTGTCTCTTAAAAAAATATTTTTTTCACAAGAAAACATCATAGGGAAGGTGACTTTTAAGCTGGTCTAAAAAGATGAGTAGGTGTTCCCCAGCTAGAGGAGAGCATTCCAGGAAGAAAGAACAGATTATAATGTCAATTCCAGAAGTAAAACAAAATACGTGGCATATTCATACAGAGAACACCTTGTTGTAGGTGAATCAAAAGGAGCAGCAGACAAGAGGCAGGTGAGGCAGGCTGCGGACAGCTTATGGAGTCAGCGGAGTTAACAGTGCCTCTCAAGTGTGATCATGAACTCAGCCTGGTCTTCAAACTGTTTGTTACTGGTCCATGCTGGAATAAGGACAGAAATTGTGAGGGTTTAGACATTTTTACAGCAATTTCACAGAGAAACTATGGCCTTTGAACTAATAAAAATTCTGGGTTTGTATATTTTTAAATCTGTATGGGTTTTTTATTTCATTTCCCTAGTGTTGGTCTGTGATGAATTGAGGGGGGGAAAAGCTAGTTCTTCACCTCATAGTTTGAGAAACACTGAGCTTGAGGTTAATGCTTTCCTAATAAAGATACTAAAATAGAACAGAGGCATAATTTTATGCTCTGGACACGAAGTGTCAAGCTGATCTTAAGCAGACACTATTCGTTGTCTCCCATAGCCATTTCCCCTTTTTCTTTAGTTTATGCAACTCTAATTTTGCTTGTGCAATATGTTAAGGAAGGTGGGCCTCTCCCCAAGTTGCCATAGCCTGAACTAAGATTGGTTAAAGCCAAGCACAGTATCTATTCCCCTTGTTAGTGACTGGCACAAGAGTAGGCATGTGACCATTGAAATGGAAGAGAAAGTAAGTAGGGGAGCTTCTGGGAAAAAGGATATTCTCTGATAGACAGCAAGCCTACCTTTCATCCAGGCTTGAACAGTTGTGTGATGATGTAATACTTGAAGTTACCACAGTCATGAGATATGATAGCCTAAGGATGAGAAGGATAAAGAGCAGAAAAATAGAACAAGCCTAGGTTGGTTTATTTGTTTAAGACAGGGCCTTGCTCTGTCAGCCAGGCTGGAATGCAGTGGTGCAATATCGGCTCACTGCAGCCTCAGTCTCCTGGGCTCAACACCTCAGCCTCCCAAGTAACTGAAACTACAGACATGTACCACCATGCCCAGCTAATGTTTTTTTTATTTTCTGTAGAGACAGGTTCTCACTGTGTTGCACAGGCCAGTCTTGAACTCCAAGACTCAAGCAATCTTCTAGCCTCAGTCTCCCAAAGTGCTGGGATTACAGGCATGAGCCACCACACCCGGCCAAGCCTAAGTTCTTGAAAGCACCACTGAGCCAGTCTTAAACCTGGAGTTTTTAATCTCCAAACTTCCTAACAGGGAGACAAATTACTCTTCTGTATCTGCTGTGTCAGTGTAGTTGGGTATTCTAGTGCTTGCAGTTGAAAGCATACTAATTCAGATCTCCCTAAGGACAACTCTTCAGAGAACAGTTCTCTGAACATCTGCTAATTGTCTTATTCTATAAAAACTGAACATTGGAATTATTATGCTCTACCAATAATTTTCTCTCAAAGTTTGAGTCAACTATGAGAGGAATTCCTCCTATAAACTTAACTTGACTGTTTAGGGTGACCTGTTAGGTGAACAAGATTAGTGGAAAACTGTCTATTCAATATCCATATACCTCTTCCTCAATTGTGACAGAATTTGTTTTGTCCAGATATCTAACCTACACATGGATCTAACGAGAGTGGGGCAGGGCAGGGGGTTGGGGGTGGGGAGAGATCTTATGTAAGCCAATCAGCATAAGGTATTCTGTTGATAACTATTATTGGTCCATAAAAATACATATAACCTTATTTGGCTCAATCAGACCTTAAAAAAAGGGACTAAGAGTCTACACCCAGGGAATAATTTCTCTCTTCTGCTGGACTTGAACAAGAAAGCACATGACTGGCTTCATCAGTCCTGGACGAGAAAGCTCTGAGATGAAAATAACTTGAGTCTTGGATGAAATCAGTGACCCTATGATATCACCACATCTAGAGCTGACTCAAACTGGACTCCCAGCTATGTGAGTTTTCCTTATGAGGATTTTCTATTACTTGCTATCAAAAGCACCGTAATAGACACAGATGGAATATCTAGCAGTTTTTAAGAGCTAAAGAAATAAATACTGGGCATAATCACACATGTACCATTTAGAAAACCATCTTGGACTATCCATCAAACCACTGAGTATTCAATTTATATTTTTATGGCGTATATACTTATATCCACTAGACTGTAAGCTCTTTGAGGAAAGAGTCTATGACTTACTCCTAATCTCTGACTACTCTGTATAGTTGGCATATAGTATGCCCTCAGTAAGTGATAAATCAAACAACCTCTCATATTTAAAAAAGGGTCTGATTCACACATAAATTATCAACAGTAGGGCTTTTCCCTGTAAATAACAGCCCTTCACTAAGTATGCATTAAATGAATTTATAACTACAAACACATGATGTTTATACTGGATAACTAGTACACCAAAGAACACTGGGCTTCAACTCTAATGACCTAGACTCACATCACAGGTTACCAGCTATTGGATTAGGGTGATTTCCTTAACCTCTGAGCACCTATACTCACTGGTAAAATAAGGATCATGATTTTTTCCATCACATCAGAGGTCACATCAGACCTGTGAAAGACACAGTAATCCAAAGATAGGCCTTGCTTTAGGATATGATCCTGTTTTCATCAATCTTCAAGTCTAACATTTCAAGGTTAGACAAAGGGAGGACTGGAGAGAATAGTGTGAATATATCCATGTTGAGTTTAGTCATTATTGTGAAGAGCAAGGGCTTAGCAAAGAGGTGTAGTACAATGTGGTTGTTACCCACTATGAGACCAAGTTCTTCATTTTTCAAGTTACTATGGTAACATCTCTTACCATTATTACTGAAATGCTGCACATCATCTTTGGGAAGGCTTACGCACTAGGAAAGGGTGAGGAGAGGGTTTTGTGAGATGTACTTTTAACTGCTGCAGAGGTCAAAAAGGGTGCTTTTAGTTCCTTTACAAATCAGGCAAACATACCAAACTGGCAAGTTTTAAAAAATTGTGTTGCTCAGAGATTACAGAAATCAGTGCTCTCAGATACTAAGGTGCAAATGGATATCTTTTTTCTAGAGATCGAGGGCAGTCCTCACCCAAAGGCTTGAAAACATGCATGGTCTCTGGCCCAAACTTAGCTGACTGATTAGTAAAGGACACTTGTAAAGAGTCTCCCTAAGGAGACTTCTATTGTAATATTATTACAGAGTAGCCAAAAGAAAAAAGTAAAAGGTGTGTATACACACACACACACACACACACACACACACACACACACGGGGGATGGGGGAAGAGAGAAAGGGGGAAGGAGAGAAAGAGGGAGGTATGAGAATGTCATCGAAGAGAGGTCCTATTGTAGACTGGTGGGATTTCAGGTGATTTCTTCCTTATTATGTTTCCATTAAACCAACCAACAAAATAAAACAAACAAAAACTCAGAATTTAGGTTATCTGACATATATCCTGTTCCAGACTGAGACCAAATTCCTAGAATGGCATCTGACATACAGAAGGCACTCTATATAAAGTATTTGTTTAATGAATAAATGCACAAATGTACAAAAAAAAAATAGGGTATTGGTTAAATTATGGTAAGTCACAGAATGAATTTATATAGTCAATACAAAGGACACTGTAGACAGACCTATACTCATTGATGGCAAAATACATTAGGAGAAAAACATGATAATGTTATAACCTTATTAAAAATATGTAACATAGAAAAAGTTTTATTTTAATTTTAAAAAATGTATAAATGTATAGGAAAAGTCTGGACTAGCATACATCAGAAATTAACAATGGGTGATAAGGTTGTTGATTTTTTGTTTTCTTTTTTGTAGTTCCAGGACATATTCAAGCAGAGTTTGAATCACCATCTGCCAAAGATCTGTATTGGGTGGGAAGTTAGTTCATACCTGTCTTAATTGTCCAAGATTCTACTCTTCACTTAGATTATCTCTGCAAACCATAAAGTGCTTACTAAAAGTATTATATCCAAATAAAAACTCAAGTAAAAATATAAACAGAAAATAATAGAGAATACTAATAACACTCAGTGCTAACTACTGTGCCAAATGCTTTATATACATAATTTTTAATTAGTACTTACAATCTTGGAAGTTAGATATTACTTCTATACCTGTTTTTGTTTTTGTTTTCAGCTGAGAAAAGCAGGCCCAAAGAAGCTATGCCTTGCTTGAGGTCACACAGCCAGCTGCTGAACCTAAGTCTGTCATACATCAAAGCCATGCTCTTAATGAATTAGGAAAGAATACTAAGGAATCATCTGATTCAGCTCCTTATTTTATAAAGGAGGAACTTTTCCTATCAGACAATGACACATGAACTTTACATATCCTCTTAGTTATGTTCTCCGTATCTTTTGTTCTTGAGATTTTTAGACTTCAAATGTGCTTACAAGCAGAATGACCAATTACTTCATTACCCATAACCAGCTAAGAGGATGACAAGGTTGCTATACTAAGGAAATCACACTCTGTTCAACTCCAGACATCACCATGGCATAGCATTGAGCTGTTTGATTAATGACTTTTAGTACCAATTCAGCTTCTTGCCTAAGCCAGCTTCTAAATAATAAGAGACAACTGTCTACCCTGTAGGCATTACACTTAAGATCCTAGTCTATTCTAAAATGTAACTAGCCATGTACAGATTCATAAAGCCAAACAGTTGAGATCTTCCAAGCCAAATCACCCTAATTTGGTCCAAAATTTAAACTAACTTTTCCAAAAGACAGCTAGTAATGAATAACAATAATGGTTTAAACATTAAGACTAAAGGCTTGTTGAGTTCTTGCTTTTAAGAAAGTTAAAAAAAAAAAAAAAAGTGTTGAATGAGATGATATGGCTACCATACTGATTCTGATTTGGTAAAGGGTTATTCATTTTTACTTCTATGCACCTAATTCTGGAGATTTCATTGGCTGAGATCAGTATCTGCTTTCTCCTGACAACAGATACCAAGTTCCCAGAATGACACAGTAATAAGAACATAAGAACCTTGCCACAAGATTTGTTGGTATATATCCTTTACCGGGGGGGTGGGTGGGGTGGGGAGGGGAAGCCACTTGAGCAAATGAGGAACACAAAAAAGAAACACAACTTAAGATCTTTCACTAGTAATATTTTACTTTCTTTTTAAAATAAATTATAAATACTTTTTCCACATATCAAAGTTCATCAAAGAACTCCCAAAATTAATCTTCTTCATTCTTCAGGAATTATTTATTCACACACCAGACCACCTACAGAAAAAGATTCATTTTAGAAAGTCAGATTTCAAACATCATGCAGATCTATGGAGTTAGGGAATTCAGACCACTAGAAATGAATGCCTCAGATAAGTAATTAACTAATTGCCCTAATTATTCCAAATCAGTCATAAAATTCAAAATCAACATTTTAAAATTCTAGGTTTGTCTAACTAAAAACATCACTGAGACTATTCATGATATTGTTCACTCTTTAGAAATTTTTGAAGTAAAAAACACTGTGTGTGTGTGTGTGTATGTGTATATAAAATACATGTGTGTGTGTATGAGATACATATATTTCTCAAAAATATCTTCGAGAAAAGGCTAAAGCAGTTATTTTTACAGATATTCAAGAGACAAGACTTGCAAACCCCTCTTTGCTGATTCAAGTATGCCTGGCGAAGATCCACAAAGTAGAAGGCAGAAGGTCAGCTCAGTATACAAGGCACTTCCTGTGGAAAGTTACTTAATCCCAAAGGCAAAATAAGGGCAACTCTTTTAAAATTCAGTTGGAAAAATCAAAAAGGGAAAGTAGCAGAGATACGGTTGCTGATCTAATCAAGTCAGTATCAGGCTTCTCACACTGCTCCTAGTGCCTATCCTAGAAGATTGAGAACAATGCTACGCATGTAATTAAATTGGGGTAGCTAACTCTTCAAGTCTAATGCAAATACCTCCCTCATTTAGCTGGTCACTCCATTTGGTTTAGATAAAGAG